GACTTTCGCATGTTCATTAGACTTGAGACTAAATCATAATTCTGAAATATGCAACTGCATGGCCAACGAGGCGTGCTAAGATTCTGTGGTATCTACTCCACAGAATGCTTAGCAATTCCGCTTATCCCGAGTTGGCTGCTTGAAAAGTTGGGCTAAAAACCTTCATTCGTGCAGGAGCCCAAGTCAACAGCCGAAGCTTAATGAACTTAACTAAGTGAGCGGTCAGGCAGGGCAGGGCAGGTTAGGGCAGGGCAAAGTAGGGTAGAGAAGGCTAGGGCAAAGGCTGCCTTTTTTTTGTTGTTGGTTGTTGCCTTTGTTTTAGACTTTCGGTGAGGATTCTCGATTTCTTTATTGTTGTTGAGCTGTCTCGATTTATGTATTTAGCGCATTTGCCTCTGGGCACATAATAATGGGGGCTAAAAATTTACCACTGCACGTTGTAGGAAAATTTGTGCTTACAGCCACACGGCCAGCTAAACGAACAGCAACAACAATACTAATAAAAGGTCATAAACTGTTGCCAGCAGCTTCAAACAAAGAAAAGAAGTGCCACAAACAAAATCACAGTGCAAACTCACATAAAAGTTTCTCGGAAGAGCGCACTACGAAATTTGCACTGTAACCCAAAAATACAAAAACAAAAAAAAAAAAAAACAAACACAAAAATAAAAGAATATTCTTTCAAGTTAATAAACTAAGGCGGAGGCAAAAGCCCAGAACCCCGAAGCCAGACAATAACTCCAAAAAGGTGATTCAAGGCGCAAACGAGCTGCGTCGAGACGGCGCTATAAAATCGTGCGATTCGCTTCAGCATGGTACGCAGCTGGCGCGACTTTGAATCCTGTTGAGCTAAACCGTTTAACAGTCGTAAGCTGTGCACCTGCTGGCTGCCCACCTGTACCGCCGTCGCTCACCTGTTGTACAAATGGAATGCCTAATGACTTTATGGCCATTATGATAGAAAGTGCGCGCTGCATAGTTCTTAAGTAGCTCGAATGCTCCTCGAATTCTGTGGCGCCACATCCAGCAATACCAACTGTCCATTTGGCCAGCTTGAAGAGCTCTACTTACTGAGCGTCCTTTCGCTCAAAAATTATTCCATTATCCTCAGCTGGACGCGCAGCAAGAGATAATTTAATATCCATTTGCGGAAGCTCCAGTTTGTTGCTGCGCCCTCCTGACCTTGCTGCCAACCAAAGCATTTGCGATTATAATCCCGTCTGAATGTAGAAAGGGTGTGCCTGTGTGTGTGCCACGTGGACGCAAACACAAAAATGTAGACCGCAAAATATTCTCTTTATGCTGCACTTGCACTCGTATACCTCTAGCTGGATGCAAAGTTGAATTAAAGCTTAGTTAATAGTTTTATTATTGATTTTATAATGCTGATGCAGATCAAAGTCCAGTGTTAGAGCTGAATTGAAATTAAATTGAATTTTTATATAATATATATCATGGCCTGGAATTGCAATTCGTTCTGCTAATTTGTATTTTAATAAGAACTCTTTGCAGCAGCTGGTAATATTTTCAAAGTCAAGTGCATGAGTTGGCTGATTATACTCGTTCACAAAGTGTAAAGAGGCATATTGGCTTTGAGCAATATTCGTACGTCTGTTCATCCGTACATCCGTATTAAAGCTAGAGACTCCTTGGCAACCCCATCGTATAAGGGGCGTGGCAAACATTATATTACTACAGCTGCCATTACTGAACTGTTTAAACTGTTTTGGCAACCTGAACGAGTATTATGCAGTTAGTTTCGCCTGCCTATGAATATATATATATATATATATATATATATATATATATATATATATATATATATGAAAGCTATATAAAATGAATTCAAGATTCAATTCAAAAGGTAAATGTCAAAGGGTTCAAATATATATGAAGTCGGTGCTTCAGTAGCAACAACTCAGCTTTCCTAAGCGGATTATTTCGAAAGTCCTGAACTTGACTTTGACTTTCCAAGCCAATTTTAAATGCTAATGCTCGCTTGAAATATGGACGACATTTAAATTGAATTTCGACATTTTCATTTAAATGTGCGAAATGCTCGTTTATCGGCTGATCTGCATTGGCTACTGATGCCATTAAGCGATGTGAAACGGCATTAAAAAATGCGTTTGACCGAAACTTAAATATCCTAAAATAGAAGATAAAAAATAGAAGACATAAGATTTAAGATAGGAGATAGAATATAGATGATGGGAGATGGGGGATGGAAGATGGAAGATGGAAGATGGAAGATGGAAGATGGAAGATGGAAGATGGAAGATGGAAGATGGAAGATTGAAGACTGATGATTGATGATTGATGATTGATGATTTATGATTGATGATTGATGATTGATGATTGATGATTGATGATTGATGATTGATGATTGATGATTGATGATTAATGATTGATGATTGAAGACTGAAGACTGATGATTGATGATTGATTATTGATGATTAGAGATTGATGATTGAAGACTGAAGACTAATGATTGATGATTGGTGATTGATGATTGATGATATATGATTGATGATTGAAGACTGATGATTAGAGATTGATGATTGAAGACTGAAGACTGATGATTGATTATTGATGATTAGAGATTGATGATTGAAGACTGAAGACTAATGATTGATGATTGATGACTGATGATTGATTGATGATTGAAGACTGAAGACTGATGATTGATTATTGATGATTAGAGATTGATGATTGAAGACTGAAGACTAATGATTGATGATTGATGACTGATGATTGATTGATGATTGAAGATTGAAGATGAAAGATTGAAGACTGAAGAATCAATGCGATGAATACTTTTCAGGTATATGTATTTGCGGCACAGGCAAAGTTTAGTCAAACAGTTGCCTCAAGGAATGTTTTTGGCACAACCCATTTGCTGCTGTGAAATAAATATTTTGCCCGCATTTATTATTTGTTGAGCCCTAAGCGAGTGATCTATACGCCATGCTGAGATGTTGATATAAAGAGAAGAAGAAATGGCGCCAGCAGCAGTCAAAGAGCAGCAAATGCAAATACAATAATTAAAATGAAAGCAGAAAGTGAATAAACAAATGGAGTGCGCGTTTGGTCGGCAATCAAATGGGTCAAGTTGCCGCTGCTGGAATTTCGGGCGGATTTGGCCAAGTTTAATTAATGCAACGGCATTATTTATGTGCCCGCACAGGCATCGCCTTTTAAGGGCCTAGCAAAAGTTTAATTGAATTAGTCACTTTCCCGCCACGATGAAAACAGAGCGAACAAAGCGAAAATAATACAGAAACAACAAACCAATAAACATAAACTTTTTTGTCCGAAAAAACGCCCGATGACGCTTAGAAACTGAAGCACATTTTCAGCCTGGCCCAAGATGATGTGCGAAATGTTGAGCTTCACTTTTTGTGGCCTAAAGTTGGCACTTGATTTATGAATTCCCCCGCACAGAGGCAGAGGCAGCATACGGGCAGGAAGGAAGGCAGGAAAGCAGCGAGTTTCTGGCATCGTTGCCTTGAAAGGTGCCGACGGACAAACAAAAAGCAAAGCGACGGTTAAATAATGAGCAAAAGGTGTAAACAAGTGGAAGCCGTCTCCGGTACGCTAATTAACTTGACAAATGTGCTGTCCTTTTCAGCGCTAGTCAGTGATTATAATAATGTCGTTGCGTCGCGAGGACAATGCTCCAATCCCAGCCGCATGCAAATTTCGTCAACTCACTTAGTTATGTAAATGCCAGCTGATTGCCAAATATTGCAGCAATTAATAATTTAATTTATTCCGCAAGCTGTACAAATATCACCTCGCGGATATACGAACACTTTTCCACAGCAAAAATTATAATATTCATGCGTTGCGAGCAGCTTTAACTTAAGCCACTGCGTGAGTGCGTAGGGCAAGATTCAGCGCAGACAGTGCTGGGTATCTCATAGTCGATCAATATTGACTTTTGTACAGGCATAAATTAGTATAGCTCTAGCTGAACTTGAAGAACTTAAAGCTTAGTTGGATGGAAGAGGATGGAGTGATGGATTTTTCCTATGAACTTTTATTTTAACAGCTGTTTGAGCTAGCAATAATATTTAGCTGTTTGAGTATCTGAGATATGTGGAGCTCATGAAAAATATGAATAAATGCGATTCTTTTATTAATAAGACTTAGTTTGAGAGTCGCAGGGTTTTTGGCCTTCAGTTCGTGCAGTTTTGCTGTTATTTGAAGGTGGTGCTATTTTATAAATAATGGCATAAATGTGGCTTTAAAATAATATAAAAAAACCTCATATTTTAAATAATGTTTACCTAGTTTACTATTTATAATTGTATTGCTCTTATAGGGTCACTCTATATGAAGACACTTTGATGGCAGTGTATAAAGATACATATATTTCTTTTTGATATACTTCGAGCGATATTGCAACTTTAAAATTTTGAGACAAATCCCCAAAGTAGCTAAGTTTTACTAACAAAAATAACCGGAAACCTCGTTGCCAGTCTGAAATCAAGCAAAGTGCGTGGGCAGAAGCAGTGGCAACAAGTCCTTTGGCAACATGTTGCCAAGCAGTGGTCGTGTTGTTGGCCAATGTTGCTGGGCTGTGGTGAGTTTTGGCTGTGGCGGGCGCAACTGTTGGTCCAATTGGGACTCAAAGAACGGCTGGCATTGCTCAGCATTCAGTGCACGACGGAGTCTTCGAGACGGCGGCACACGGCGCGGCAACCGCTGATTTACCAGTTGGTCTGTCTGTCACTCAGTCTGGCAACTGATAGCTGCGTTTGATTTTTTTTCGAGTTAACGCGTCAGTGAGTCAGTTTCAAGTGGCGTGCGTGCCGCTGTGAGTGCGTTTCAGAGACAGCCTCACGATTGGCCCCAACTACAATTACCGGCAGCTGCTGTCTGCGCTCGCGCCGCTGGCAACGACTGCTGCACTGCAGCTCAATGCCAGCTATGCCGCCGAGGAGATCTACGGCGTCAGCGCTAGCGGAAGTGGCAGTGGCAGTGGCAGTGGCAGTGGCAGCAGCGACGGTGACGGCGACAACGACTTCCTTAACGGCAGCGATCTCTACATATATAGCAATGAGATGTTGGACTCAACTGTCACGCCAGCCGGATCGATGGCAACGCAGAACAGCTATGCATCAGCGAATGCATCGGTCACGGTGCTGCCCACGCCAATGGCGCTGCCGGCCAATCGCAGCATGTCGCGCGTTAGTGCCGATGTGCCCATCTGGGTGATACCCTGCTACAGCATCATTCTGCTCTGCGCCGTGGTTGGCAATCTGCTGGTGGTGCTCACCCTGGTGCAGAATCGCCGCATGCGCACCATCACCAACGTCTTTCTGCTCAATCTGGCCATCTCGGACATACTGCTGGGCGTGCTCTGTATGCCCGTCACACTCGTTGGCACTCTGCTGCGCAACTTCATCTTTGGCGAGTTCCTCTGCAAACTCATTCAGTTCTCTCAAGGTAAGGCCTGCAGCGGTACTTGGCTTAAGTGCCGTTGCATTTACACCTTGATACCCTTTACCCTTTGCCCTCTGCCCTTGCCTGCCTTTATCTAGCTGCTTCAAGCTCATATATTTAAGATATGTATACTTAAATATATACATATATATATATATATTTATATCGTTTTATTATGCCAATCGTGTGGCTAGCATTCAGTGATGGCAGCTACTTGAATTGTAAATGTGAACATGGAATGTGGAGCTGAAATTGCAACCATTGTGTCTATTGGTTAATGTGTGTGTGTGTGTGTGTATTTAGTCTTTACGTTTTTTGCTGCAAGAGTCATAAAAACTCAGCGCACTCAGCGGACTGCAGTCTCTAATTTATGTGATGACCCACATCGAGCAGCTACGTAAATAGAGCGAGTAATCCCACGCGCGCGTGTGTGTGTGTAGATGTGTGTGTGTGTGTGTGTGTGTGTGTGGCTCAGCCATTTAACGTCTGGTGGCCTCAATATTATGATTGCAGCAGGTGCGCTCGCCGCCTGCCCTGCCTGGCCTGGCCTCACCTGATGACACTCCAAATGAGCTGGGTCCAAATATTTGCCGGAGCGTCCACAACATGCATGAAATGGGTTAATATTTAAGCTTATCTAAATGCGCAAAGGTGACATGTTTCTATAAAATTACCTGTCTAACTTAACAATTGTATTCGAGCACATACTTCTGCATGTGTCCATGCTCTTCCACATTTTTGATGTAGGTGTTACTGGAGCATTGCTGTTCGGCCATAGATAAAGCTACGCATACTTTTGATTACATTTCGGATTTATAAACAATTAAAACAATTTCATTATTGATTAGTTTCAGATGCTCTAAATTGCTTCAGACTGGCACAGCAATAAATTCTCGCAATAATTTAAGTGATATATGCATATATATATATAGATATATATATAAATATATATATGCCAACATCTAATTCCAGTGCATATCGTACATCATTTAAAATTTAACGTCAATACATTTTAATTTTAATTTATGTTCCAGTTAAAGTCCATTTAGGCATCTAGCATGGTATTTTTATTCGAATTGATTTCGTTTTTATGGCCAGGCTTTTATAGACATGGCCCAAGCATTATTTATGTACAATGAATAACTGTATGAGCGAGGCTGGGCAGTGTCTTCATACTTTGAAGTAAGTACCGTTCGGAGCGCCATAAAGTAGGCCACAGTTATAACCGATTCGAAATACCCTTTTAATGCCTCGACTCGCTCATGGCAACCTTTGATCGGAGCAAGTCTTCGTGAGATTAGCCAGCTGCTATTAAATTGAATTTATATTACGTTATTCGCTAGAAAACTTTGTGAACTGATAAATTATAATCTTTTGGTCCTGTTTACTGAGCACGTCAATGAAAACTTGTTTGTTATTTAGCTCGTGGAAGCTAGCGAGTCATCGACCCGCTGGCGAGTCATCTTGGCTAAGCTATGCTGTCTAAACTTAAAATATGCATACAGACACACACGCACACACACACACAGAGCTACTGGCAGACACAGGTAAATACACAGTCTTCAACATATTTTGAGCGGAAATTACCGGTTATGGCGAAGCACTTTCTTGAGTAGTTATAAGTCCTGGCAAAGAGCAAGCACTCGAATGGGTTGGCAAATGCGATTCTGGGCCCTTTTGTTAGTTGGCGTCCCTCAGAACTTAAGTGGCTGTGACCCAGCAAAAGTCGATCATCGGTTTTGGCTGCCAAACCGCACGCCAAGGCAGACCAAGCCCAAAACTTAGACGCAAACTCCCAGCACAGACACGCCAGCAAGTTGGCTAAGAGCGTTGCCAATTTGTTGCATGTTAACAGGGGCTTAGAGAATTTGTTCTGGCACCTGTCACAAATGCTTATCAATTGATTAAGTTGATTCTGCTCGGGTGAAAGGACTTTCAACACCAGCGTCTGGCCGTCGAAGGGTTGCCGCACAGCCACGAAAATTTCAATGTTCAATGTTAGTTTGCCAATTGCATAGGCTCGAAGTTGGCGCCTGAACAAAGTCGAAATCGAATTAAGTATTAATGGTCTTCGGCCTGCAAACGCCAGCGGGATACATGGCGAAGACATAAAGTCAGAATACACATATTCTTGGCACATAAATTGAAGTGCCTTCAAGTACATGCGCGCACACAAATTCAAATACAGATAAAGATGCGGATATAGCTACAGCAGCTAAAGCCTCTGGCCAGGAGGATCTGCATTCCGGGGCCAGAGCCAAGGCAAATGCTAAGCCCGTAACAATGACTCTAAGATAATACCAAGCAAATCCTTATTTTCAATGCGAATTAGGCAAGTCTTAGTCTAACGTGAGTGCTGCCAGATTCTCAGATGTGAAAATGTGCCACTGAGCGAATGTGCAAATGCCTCTGTTTATAACAGAAAGCTGTGAGATTGTGTGAGTGACTGTGTGTGTGTGTGTGTGTCTGTGTGAGTGTTCTTTAAAAATACTTTAGCATTCCCCCAACAATTTGTATATATATGTTATGTGTCTGCTTCAATTGTTGCACGGTGGGCTAAGCCCACAGAGTATATCCACATAACTATATGCATATGTATGTAAATTGTATTATTAAAGTCGCCGAGGTAGAAGAATGAGCCTGTCACAGAAGCCAACTAGAAACAATAGAAAATAAGGTTGGCGCCATGGATATTCACTGACTTAAAATGGGATTAGGCCACAAATAGTACGCACACAACTAAGGGACTTTATTCCATTCTTATTCTTATGATTTGCATTTTATTTTATTCATTTTTCAAATGGTCTTCTTAATAGAAGGTCGTTGTCATTGTAATTGTCATTGTCATTGGTCATTGTCATTGTCATTGTCATTGTCATTGTCATTGTCATTGTCATTGTCATTGTCATTGTCATTGTCATTGTCATTGTCATTGTCATTGTCATTGTCATTGTCATTGTCATTGTCATGTCATTGTCATTGTCATTGTCATTGTCATTGTCATTGTCATTGTCATTGTCATCATTGTCATTGTCATTGTCATTGTCATTGTCATTGTCATTGTCATTGTCATTGTCATTGTCATTGTCATTGTCATTGTCATTGTCATTGTCATTGTCATTGTCATTGTCATTGTCATTGTCATTGTCATTGTCATTGTCATTGTCATTGTCATTGTCATTGTCATTGTCATTGTCATTGTCATTGTCATTGTCATTGTCATTGTCATTGTCATTGTCATTGTCATTGTCATTGTCATTGTCATTGTCATTGTCATTGTCATTGTCATTGTCATTGTCATTGTCATTGTCATTGTCATTGTCATTGTCATTGTCATTGTCATTGTCATTGTCATTGTCATTGTCATTGTCATTGTCATTGTCATTGTCATTGTCATTGTCATTGTCATTGTCATTGTCATTGTCATTGTCATTGTCATTGTCATTGTCATTGTCATTGTCATTGTCATTGTCATTGTCATTGTCATTGTCATTGTCATTGTCATTGTCATTGTCATTGTCATTGTCATTGTCATTGTCATTGTCATTGTCATTGTCATTGTCATTGTCATTGTCATTGTCATTGTCATTGTCATTGTCATTGTCATTGTCATTGTCATTGTCATTGTCATTGTCATTGTCATTGTCATTGTCATTGTCATTGTCATTGTCATTGTCATTGTCATTGTCATTGTCATTGTCATTGTCATTGTCATTGTCATTGTCATTGTCATTGTCATTGTCATTGTCATTGTCATTGTCATTGTCATTGTCATTGTCATTGTCATTGTCATTGTCATTGTCATTGTCATTGTCATTGTCATTGTCATTGTCATTGTCATTGTCATTGTCATTGTCATTGTCATTGTCATTGTCATTGTCATTGTCATTGTCATTGTCATTGTCATTGTCATTGTCATTGTCATTGTCATTGTCATTGTCATTGTCATTGTCATTGTCATTGTCATTGTCATTGTCATTGTCATTGTCATTGTCATTGTCATTGTCATTGTCATTGTCATTGTCATTGTCATTGTCATTGTCACTGATTAGTTTTGCATACTTGCGTATTGGGCATTATTAGTTACAGATATTTTATATTCATGTTGTTTGCTTTAATTTCAATTAAAATATATTTGATTTTCCGCGCTGTTAAACGTGGGCAGCTCTGCAGGTTCGGGTGTTCTGCTGTTGTTAGCATCTGCAGTATTATGACTTGTTTCCGTTTCCGGATCCGCTGCCGCCATAGCTGCTGCTGCTGTTGCGCGTACAGCTGCCGTTGATGATGATGTTTATAATGATGTTTACTTAGCTGGCTCAAGTTTGTATTCGGATGACTGGCTGTTGATATTGCTGTTGCTACGTGCATGTTTATTTCAGGCATTCATTTTTCAACACGACGCCCACATGACTTACTTATTAAGGGCATAATAACAATTGCGAGTAGCGAGAGTGGCAACCACATCATCCCGCTCGTTCGCTCCCACTATCCCAAGGCAGACATCACTCCGGCGCTGTTCCCACAATCCCCAATCTGCAAGCCAACGTCCAATGCCACACATTGAAATGCCGTCATGTGGCAATTTGTTAGCCAAACACGCCTTTCGCCTTTTGCCTTTTGCTTCTCGCATTTCGCTTTGCGCCTGCCGCAGCGCTGCGGCACTGCTTGGCTAAGACTTGGACCACATCTGTTGCACGGCATCTACTTGCACCGGCTCGTAAATTTATAAATGTCAACGTTGTTTGCTGTTCGGCCCGTCACACCAATTTATGACCATCATTATGTCAAGGTGCATTCGTTGCACTAGCCACACCAAATCGCACCGAGCCCAAGTCACAGACCCTAGGCGCATGTCCATGTCCGCCAGCTGATTTATATGCGGAGCCTAGGCTATCCGGTTAGTGCCACCATTGACAGGCCAAATTCAATTTGCTAGTCAATTTTCAATAATTCGTGCGCGCACTGCTCTAGGACGAAGTCGAAATGAAATCTTCAATATTACG